TATACCCTCCACCTTTAAAAGGAGGGTATATTAACTTTGTCATTCCGTATGTAACATCCTTAATAATTCGCGATGACCCCATCAGGTATATATATTCTTAATCAGCATAAAATTCTAAGTCGATTTAATGATGTCCGTCTGTCTGTCTATCTGTTGAAATCACGATACAGCCCACATTATTTGACGTAGAGCGCCAAAATTTAGCAGAGCAATTTATATTGTGTCTAGGATGGTTGGTATTGAAAATGAGATATATCGGTACACTTTCTGGTATAGTCCCCATATAACGGTACCTCCCGATATTCGATATTTTGATGATTTATGCCACATTTTTTCACTGATTTGTCTAAAAATTGGTATTTGTGAGTCATAATGGGCCCTAGTTCGTGTGGCGAAACATTGTATGTATAGGTCAACGTTTTGGTATAGCCCCCATATTAAGGTACCTCCCGATATTCGGTATTTTAATTTTTTTTTGCCACATTTTTCCACTGATTTGTCTAAAAATTGGTATTTGTGGTCCTAGTTCGTGTGGCAAAACATTGCATGTGTAGGTCCACGTTTTGGTATAGCCCCCATATAAAGGTACCTCCCGATATTCGGTAATTTGATTATTTTTGCCACATTTTTTCACGGATTTGTCTGAAAATTGGTATTTGTTGGTCATAATGGGTTCCAGCTCCGGTGGCGAAACATTGCATGTATGGGTCCATGATTTGGTATAGCCCCCATACTGATTTGTCTAAAAATTGGTATTTGTTGGTCATAATGGGTCCTAGTTCGTGTGGCGAAGCATTGTAATCATAGGTCCACGTTTTGGTATAGCCCCCATTTAACGGTACCTCCCGATATTCGGCATTTTAACGGGTTTTCCACATTTCATTTTAACGTAGAAGAACTCAAGATAACAAAAATTTGACGAAATTCGATCGAAAATATAACTAAAACATGAAAAATACTTAAAATCGGGATACTATACCAAATGTGGACCGACTCAGCGCATTTTTGAAGCCAATAATTATAGAAGCAATTTAAGCTCTCTATATAGAGAAAGAGTGGAAAGATATATCCCATCTTTACAGCAAATATTGTGATAGTAAAAATAATGGGATGTGTGAAATATGAAGAGAACCGGATGCTTATTTGGGATTTTATAATCGTTTTGGTTATTCAAAAATTTCACACTTTTGGGGGAGGTACCAGAAGGAGTGGTCCGATCTCTACTATCTTTATAACAGATCTGGTGTTGATAGAAATATTGAGATGTGCCAAGTATGAATGTTAACTTCCCGTTATATAAGCTTCACGGATATTCGAAATTTTGAGCCTTTGTGGGGGAGGTACCAGAAGGAGTGGGCCATTTTCACGCCAGACATTGGCTTAATAAAAATATTGGGATGTGTGAAATTTGAAGACAATAGGACTCTTACGTCACATTTTATAAGAGTTATAATTATTCAAAATTTTGACCCTTTGTGTGGGAGGAACTTGATGGAGTAGACCGATATTGTCCATTTTCGCACCTGACCTTGCACTGATGCAAATAATAGGATTTCCAATGTTGGAGCAAAATCGGATAATCCTTTCTCGTTCTGTGCAGTAAAATATATTTCTTGAAAATTTCGACCTTTTGTGGGGGAGGTACCAGAAGGAGTGGGCCGATATTGTCCATCTTCTAAATCGAGATAAGTTTGACAAAAATATTATATTTTGCCCAAAGGGACCTAGGGTCTAAAACCTCTATTTCGATGAGGCACGTTTTGTCTGTATCATATGATTAATACCCTCTCTAGCCGAAAAAATTATCAAAATATGTTGGGAATATTTTCTGACTTTTTTGAGAACATTTTTTTTTTTTTTTTTGAGAAATATTTTCTTGATAAATAATGCATATAAAGATTTTGATTCGTTGTTAACTTATAATGAAAATTGTTGTAGAATAATTTTGTGTTTTATGTTATCCTTTTAAAATGATGCGTTGCTGGAGCATTTTGCATAAACTCACATAAGGTAGGCTTTAACCCTAAAATGTATTTTTAATATATCTGAATTCCTTCCGTTTATGTAATGTTTAGACTTTTGATTTCTTCTAGGAATTACTGTAGATTTTTATGAGAAATAATTTTGTAGAATATTTTGACTTGCTACGATCCCACTTAAATGGAGTTTTTGACCATACTCTAAAAAAGGACCAAAATGACCCCTTTGTTGACTCGCTTGAGGATTTAAATTTCCGACCAAAATATTTGCTGTATTTACCTAAGATATACGGGTTCTAAGGAGTTTTAATACGAACATTTCAAAAGTTGTGAAAGAGAGAGGAACTTGCCTCCTCTATTTTGGTAACATTGGAAACTTTCAAAACGCCAATACACGTGTCTTGTATTTTTGGCGATACTTTCTTAATTTGCTGGATTTTTCCGGTAATTATTTTTAATATTATTTATTATTATTATTTTTTATTTTATTTAATTTTTTTCCAATTTGGTCGAATTCCCCCCAAAAAATATTGTAAATTAAAAAATTTAATTTTAAACCGGAAACACTACAAATTCATGATTTATTTTTGTATAATTGTTTGTAGTGTGAAATATTTTCCTCCGTAGTTTTCGGTTTTGTTTTTTTTTCCTACTTTCATTTATCGCTGCAACGCCCGAAAACCACAAGCCGCCCACTTGCAATTTACATCACAACAACTAACAAAATGTATTTTTATTTTTTTGTTTTCTTTTCTCATAAAATGGACAAATGTTCAAATAAATTGTTTTTGTTGTGCGCACATTTTTACCCATAGAATACTAATGACCAATTAGTCTTTTGTTTTATTAAATATTGAAAAGTTCCACAAAAATCTGGTATTAAAATGGAAGTAATTGTTCACCAAAAATGTAAGGAAATGTAGAAAATTCGAAAATGTTACGGAATTAATGGTTAATTAAGAAAAATTGTCTAATGAACTTTATAATTTTGGACATTGCATTTATTTTTGGATTGGAAATTCGGAAGTACATTGAATGAAAATTAGCATTACTCAATATGACGCAGGTTTCTGTATAGTCTCCTTATGTCTCAAGCATTGATGAGCTGTGCTTAAAATATTTACCAAGTTTGAATAGAATCGCAAACTTGTCTCGCATGTTATGAGAGATACAGGGTGAGATGAGAAAACAGCAACCAACTTCAGACTGCTATCATTTCTAAGCCACTCGTCCAACAGCTATTAAAATTATTCCAGTGACAGCTCAATATATTTTTTACAAGCGTATACAATCATTTTGTTCAGAATTTTCCAGAAAAAAAGTTATTCGTGATGGAATTCAAGCGTGATAGTGTGTTTTTTATATTTGCCTGGAAAACCACAAGTGGCTATCGTTAGAGCACTCCGGCATTTAAATGTGAATAAATCTTTTGTATCTCGTACCATCGCTCGTTACCGTCATACTGGTAGCGTAATCCGACGTCAAGGCTGTAGACAAAAGAAAACAGCAACATCTTCAGAAATGGTTCGAAAGAAGCGACTTGATCGAAACCCCCGTCAGAGTGGTCGAAAAATGGCTCGTGAGCTGAACATCACCATGGTGATGATGTGGGCCGCCATAACAACCGATGGTCGCCCTCCACTCGTATTAGTCGACCGTGGCATCAGGGTTATAAGAGGTATCAGGGTTAATGCTGAAAATTATCGCGAAAATCTTCTGGAGGGTGTATTAAAGCCTTGGGCACGCAAACATTTTGGCGCAGACCTTGGACACTGCAACAGAATTCCAAGAATGATTACAAAATGAGGTTCAACGCTTCATTTCCAGCCCACAATGGCTATTAAAATCTCCGAATACCAATCCGTTGGACTATTGTGTCTGGATTATTTTGGAAAACAAGATTGACACTAAAAAAAAAACCAAAGTGTCGATCACCTCAAGCAAGCGCTTCGCCGGGAAAGAGTCAAAACACCGCAGAGCAACATTCGGGCGGCTTGTGACCGTTTCATTGGCTGTTTGAAGGCCATAATTCGCGCCAAAGGTGACCAATTGGAACAAAATCTAAACTTATTCTAAAATTTGATGCTATTTGATGCTAATTTTGACCGGTTGTGGGGGAGGTACCAGATGGAGTAGACCGATATCTACCATTTTCACATCAGATTTTGTGTTAGTGAAAATATTGGGATGTGTGCAATTTGAAGACAATCGGATGCATATTCCGCATTTTATGAGACTTATAAGTTATTCAAAATGTTGACCCTTTGCGAGAGAGATACCAGGAAGAGTGTACCGATATTGCCCATTTTTACATCAGCTGCTTAGCTAGTAGAACTATTGAGTTGTGTAATACTAGAAGAGCATCGGATGCTCAGTTCTCATTTTATAAGTGTTATAAATATTCAACACTTTAGCCCTTTTATCTAATTCGAATATTGGGATTTGAAAAGTTTGGAGAAAATTGGACGATAATTTCCTCTTTTGTGAGGACAATTAGGTTCTGTGAAAATTTTGACATTTTATGGTGGATGTACCAAAAATGTCTAATATTTATAAATTTCTTTTGAGATTTAGAGAACCAAACTTGGTACATAGTAATATTATTATCAAGCTGAGATTGAGTTCGGAGATGGGCAATATCGGCCAACTCCTTCTGGTACATTCCCAAAAAAGGGGTCAAAATTTTTTAAAAATGACCATCCGTTTCCAATCAGTCTTGGCACATCTAAATATTTCTATCAACACAAGATCTATTATTAAGATAATAGAGATCCTTCTGCACCTCGCCCACAAGGGGTGAAAATTTTGAATAACCAAAACGAATATATAATTCGAAGTAAGCATTCGGTTTTTTTTTCATGTTTCACACATCCCATTATTTCTACTAACAAAAGATTTGCTGAAGATATATGAACAGATAGACATTAATAAATTGATTCAAAATATGATTCTATTCAGATCAAGGTTCTGTGGATATATCTGGATTTATCATGCTTGGAGAGGTTTAATTGGGAAACTTACCAATTTATGTTTTCAATGGAATTATTTTTTGTCTGAAAAAAAGAAAATATTGTTTAATTATTTTAAATCTGCTATGAGTGATATTTTTTAGAATTTTACAACTAGTCTTTTTTAAATGAACAAAATATATGTAGTAGTGGATTTAAACTATATTAGCAGAGCACAGATTTACTCATTTTTACTCGGAAGTGAAAGTTCCTCGCTAGTGGAACTGCTTGAAGTGTGAGAGTGAGAGAAAGCAATACAACAACGACATGACAAAACTTAAAGAAGTGCTCCCCAAGAGTAGAACCTACTCGTTTTCTAAAACGAACAAAACTGGCTCTCCCATATTCGAGCTAAACCGAAAAATTAAGTTTTGCTCGTTGGTTTTTCTACTCCAAGGAGAGTTTTCGTTCGAATTGGAGCGAGTTTTTTTTCGGAGGTCTGAATATTAGAGAAAAATGACCGTATAGTTTTACTCGTGAGTTATTTTATAGGCTGCATATCCTACAATTTTGGATTGTTTTTGAAGAAACCACCAGAGCTTAAATTGTAGCCTTTTTAAGAATCACCGCACAGAGGCATAATAGTGGATTTATTAATGTTACACCACTAGACACATAATACTAGACATTTAAAAGAAAATTGATCTGTTTTTTTTTTTAACTACGCCACATAGTGGTAAGGATATCAAGGCTTTGGGCATATGTTTGCAACATGGAGAAAAAAGCGGGAGAGACTCATAGTTACTTTTTAGGATTTTCATAGAATTACTTTCTGAGTCGATCTATGCGTGTCAGTCCGTCGTCCGTCTGTCCATGAAGGTCGCATTTATTATCCGATTGAGATTAAATTTCGCGTCCAACGACGAACCCTACTGAAATTGGTGAAAATCGGTTAAAATTTAGATATAGCTCCCATTTATATTTTCAACCGATTTCGGGTTTATTATACACCAAATGACAAATATTAGGCCAAAATGACCTGTATTTTGGTACATCCGACCGAATTTAGTATGTTAAATTTGGTGAAAATCGGCTCAGATGTAACTATAGCACCCATATATATGTTTCAACTGATGTCGGGTTTTATGTCCCTCAAATTCGTAATATGCATTCGACAACTATGATATTTGTTACCAGATAACTAATGAAGCTCAAAAAAAAAAAAAACTCTGTCAAATTTTATCGAGATTTGATCAGATTAGGACATAGCCCTAATCTGTATATATCTTTATCCGATATCAGATTTGTTGGGCACCAAATGGTTAAAATTAGACCAAATTGACTGAATTTTGACAGTTCCGACTGAATTCATCCCAAAAACAAGTACTTGAAATTTGGTGAAAATCGGTTCAGATATAGCTCTCATATATATGTTATATCCGATTTGGTGTTAAAGTCCCTCACTCCACAAGAATGATATTTGGTACCAAATATGAGATAAAGCCCAGAAATACCTCTGCCAATTTTTATCGACGTCTGTTCAGATTTGGATATAGCTCCCATATATATCTTTATCCGATTTCAGGTTTATTGTGCAACAGTGGCTGATATAAGCCGAAAAAACTGAACTTTGGCACTTCAAATTTAGTGAAAATCGGCACCCATATATATTTCATCCAATTTAATGCTTAAGTCAATCCTTTTCGTAACATACACTCGACAGGAATGATATTTGGTACCACATATGATACATTCATCCTAGAAACAAGTACCTCAAATTTCGGTGGAAACCGGTTCAGATATAGCTATAACGCCCACATATATGTTTCATCCGATTTGGTGTTAAAGCTTCACATGTCTTGTACAATGCCCATCACAACAACGAAATTTGATACCGGACATCAATTACAGCTCGAAAATACCTCTGCCAAATTTGACCGAGATCGGTTTGAATTTGTGATAGCTTCGATATATATCTTCATCCGATTTTACGGTTATTGTCCTCCATACATGTTATATCAGCCCAAATTGGATAGATTTTTTCATATTCAACCGAATTTTACTATTTGGTGAAACTCGGTTGCTCCAATAAATATTTTTATACCCTCCACCATAGCATGGAGGGTATATTAAGTTTGTCATTCCGTTTGTAACACCTCGAAATATACATTTTAGACCCAACAAAGTATATATATTCTTGATCGGCATAAAACTCTATGTCGATTTATCAATGTTCGTCCATCTATCCGTCTGTGGAAATCATTCTAGCTTCCGAACGAAATGAAGTAGGTTGATAAAATTTTACTCAAATGCGTATTATGTCTGCAGGACTTTTTGTAAAATGGGCCATGTAGGTCCACATCTTCGCATAGCCCCCATATAACGGAACCTCCCGATATTCGGTATTTTGATGATTTTAGCGACATTATTCACCGGAATTGTTTCCATTTTGTATTTGAAGTTCGTAATGGATACTACAGCCTAAGACAGAAAATTATCTGTGCAGGTCCAAGTCTTCGTATAGCCCTCATATAACGGTACCTCCCGATATTCGGTATTTTGATGATTATAGCTACATTATTCACCGGAATTGTTTCAATTTTGTATTTGAAGTTCGTAACGGATACTACAGCCTATGACAGAAGATTGTCTGTGAAGGTCCACGTCTTCGTATAGCCCCCATATGACGGTACGACCCGATATTCGGTATTTTGATTATTTTAGCGACATTATTTACCGGAACTGTTTCAAATTTGGTATTTGTAGTTCAAAATGGATACTACAGCCTAAGACAGAAAATTATCTGTGCAGGTCCACGTCTTCGTATAGCCCTCATATAACGGCACCTCCCGATATTCGGTATTTTGATGATTATAGCTACATTATTCACCGGAATTGTTTCAATCTTGTATTTGAAGTTCGTAATGAATACTACAGCCTATGACAGAAAATTGTCTGTGCGGGTCCAAGTTTTATAACCTCCATGGTACCTCCCTGTATTCGGTATTTTAATGATTTTAGCTACATTGTAAACTGATTTTTCTTCAAGTTTCGCAATTAAATATAGTAAAAATGTATGACAAAAGTTGCCTATGCAGGTTCACGTCGTCGTATAGGCATTCGGTATTTTTAAGATTTTAACAGAATTTTTAACAGATTTTATTTTATTTTATTTTATTTTTTTTTTTTTTTTTTGTTGGAAATTGCCAAATTTGTACCAGATGGTGGAGGGTATTAAAAGTTCGGACCGGCCGAACTTACAGCTTTTTTACTTGTTTTTATATAATCATGCACTATATAGCAATGCTATTTGGTACTACAGATACAAAAGCCTTCGTCAAATTTGTTGAAAATCGATTCAGAGTTGGATATAGTTCCCAAATTGCGACTACTCTAAAGCCATGATACACATTCAAAAGACGTTCATATTTCATATAATTATATATTTTTTGTTACGGGAGCTCTACTAAATGTGCATAGTGGTGTAGGGTGTCATATAGTCGGTCCCGCTCGACTTTTGACCTTTCCTTACTGCTTTTAATTTTAAAATTGAAAAAAAAGCACCCAGCTTAATACACACTTTTGCAAAAAAAAAACTTCTACATCTTCTACCCAATTGACACTTTGGAATTGGATGTCGATTATCTAGGCTGTTAACCTGGTTCTAATTAGTTGTAGTTGTTAATTGATTGAAATGCCGTGCATCTTTCTGCAGTCTATTTTGCATTATTTGTGGGTCAGACGCAAGATCACGGTTATAGCTGTTGCTGCGGCTAAGTTTTCCATGCTACACTTTCTTTCGGGGTTTCTCTGTTTTCTATTTTCTCTGCCCGCTTTGCAATATAGTCGATGTCCTATAACTGTTATTTAGTGTCAATTAATTAAAAACAAACAAATTGTTCAATTGAATGCATGGCCATCAGCCCCAGCAACAACAACAACAACGCCACTATTCCAACAATACGTGTGATCTCAATTAATGAAAAAGCAAACAAGAAAGAGAAGCAACGAAAGAAAAAAAATAGCACACAATCAATTGTTTGGCTTCACACATTTTCTGTTGCTGCCGCTCAATAAAAAGAAAATTAATTTAATTAAAAAGAAACAAAGGAAGTGAGTTTTTTTTTTTTCAAAAATAAATTCTTAAATTGAAAATGTTGAAAATGATGAGAAAATTGCAAGGAGTAAGATATTGATTTTAGGGAAAACATAGGTGGTTTGGGTGGGGAAAAATAGTATGACGAAATTTTTTTGTGAGTTAGAAAGAATTTATTTTCGATGCCATAAATCGATACCATACACATAAAAGAGTAGTGAAATAACTGACTCAGAATCAACGACCAAACGAAGCAGCTGAAGCTAGAATTTGAAATTTTCCACGTGGGTCAGACTTGGTGCGTAGGAAATTTGGAATGAGAGTCACTGATAATACCTTCCACCATTTGGAAGGAACTTGAAAATTTTCGCCAAAAAAATTCGAAAAGTACCACTTAAACGTTACATGGGGACCATACGAAGACGTGGAACTGCATACGAAATTTTTTGTCATAGGCTGTAGTACCCTTTACTATTTTAAGATACGAAATTTGTAGCAATATCGGTGAATAATGTCGCTAAAATCATAAAAATACCGAATATCGGAGGCTATACGAAGACGTGGACCTGCATAGACAATTTTCTGTCTTAGGCTTTACTATCCATTACAAACTTCAAATACCAAATTTGTAATAATTTCGGTTAATAATGTCGCTAAAATCACCAAAATACCGAATATCGGGAGGTACCGTTATATGGGGGCTATACGAAAACGTAGACCTGAATGGCCCATTTTCTGTCTTAGGCTGTAGTATTCATTACGAACTTAAAACACCAAATTTGAAACAATTCCGCTAAATAATGTCGCTAAGATCACCAAAATACCGAATATTGGGAGTACCGTTATATGGGGGCTATACGAAGACGTGAACTTGCACAGACAATTTTCTGTCATAGGATGTAGTATCCATTACGAACTTTAAATATTAAATTTGAAACAATTCCGATAAATAATGTCGCTAAAATCATAAAAATACCAAATATCGGGAGGTACCGTTATATGAGGGCTA